GATGCTTTTTCGTTATGGTAAATATATTTGTAACAGATCAGCTGCTACTGCAGCATCGGTCACGTGCACGACGCGGTGACATTTGTTATGCCTTGCGTGTTGTCCGTCATCACTGTCCTCTGTCCCCAGAGCTCTCCGTCCCCTTTAACAGAAGCTCGGTGTGCCCTCGTGAGTAAACCCTTCTCCCCAAACTCCCCTCACCATCCCCTGGTAAGAACTAATCAACTGTGGTCTCTATACTAGTATGACGTTGTAATCAGAAAAACAACCCACAGTATTTGAAATTTACAATTGGATTAAAAAGAATCCCTGGTCTGTTGGGGATTCTTGAGGTACCAGAGGTCTAGGTTAATTTACAGGATCAGTTATTACTTAAGGGTCTCTAGTGATGCAGCAGGGGGTTAAACCTGGGGGCTGCTACCCTCAAGGTCAGTGGCTCAAACCCACCAGTTGCTCCGAAGGAGAAAGATGAGGCTGTCTGCTCCTATAATTATTTAATCACTGAAACCTATGAGTCAGTTTTGTTTTGTTTTATTCTCTTCTATAGGCTCTATTATAAGCTGGGTTCTCTAGAGAAGCAACATTGTGAAGTCTATATATAGAAAATATATATGTGTATGGGGGAAAAAATGGCTCACACAGTTAGAGAGGTAGGCAAGTCCAAGTCCAAGGGTCAGATGTGAGGCTGAAGGCTTCTTCTGACCTGCGTAGCCGTGGGGGCTGATGCACCAAGGTGGGCAGAAAGATGGCAGGCTTGTGGCTACAGAGGAGAATGCACCTAAAGTCAGCAGGTCAGGCTTGTAGTGACCGGAGAAGCAAATGAATCCAAGGTCAACTCCATGTGATAGCAGCCCATGGATGTCTCCCGGGATCGGCAGGCAATAGGGCAAGCTATTGGCTCAAGGTCAAAGACCTGAAGGTCAACGAGCCACATGCAGCATCCAGACCTAGCAAACAGCAAGCAAGCTTTTCCAGAGCATCTGTTTGGACTGGAAATAGGTCACCCTTTCATTTGTCTGCATCAGGGCTGTGGTAGGAGTAAATGTTACATCTCACCCTAATCTTTCTAAGATTAATTGGCTATTCAGAGCAGATCTCATTGTGGAGTTGAGTGCATTGTGTTAGGCCGTCTCATGAGGAAAATCACTAGGTTTTAGCTGTCAAATCAAAGAGAATCCGGCCCGTCAAATTGATCACAGCATTTGTAATATTAAAAGAAACCTTAGGCGGCTATGAGTTGATGTTCACGGAGAAGGAATAACTGAGAACACGGGGATGAGAATGATTCACAATTTTAATGTCATAAAAATGCTGGGTGTATGTTCTACTGTGTATATTCTCAATAATAAAATTCATTTTTTTAAAAAATGAGACTCCTGGCCCAGTCACATTGACACAAAACCTCACAATCACTATACATCAGCCTCTGTGGGATAGCAATGGGTTTGGGTTTGGGGGTTGCCACGGACATTCGCAGGGTTCCCTATATGTAAACACCCGAAGAGCATTTCAGAAGGTACTTTATGAACAGGAAACAACAGTGACAAGCACACCAGTGTCAACGGATATGGAGTCACACACTCGGGAGTTAAATTTCAGCTGGCTGCCCTTGGAAAGTTGCTTAGTCCTGGCGACCCTCGTCTCCTCCTCTGTTCACTGGAGAGGAAGACAATGCAGCAGTATCTGCTTGAAGGCAGCCTAGCAGTGGCCCAACTGAGTGCAGTGCCATGGCGTCGATCCTGCTCCCGGGGATCCTGCTGGACAGAGAAGAGCTGCTCCCCGGGGCTTCTGAGGCTGCACATCTTTACAGGAGCAGACAGCCTCGTCTTTCTCCTGGAGAGAGGTTAGTGGGTTCAAACAGCCGACCCTCAGGGCAAGCAGCCGGAGGGCTAAACCCCTGCACCTCCAGGGCTCCTCCAGTAGCAGGCGCTGCTGTGAACAAGAAATCGCCTCCACTCTGCAGATGCGCTGGACCAATGAGAGCATTTCCCCCACGCTCCTGGGGACTCAGCACGAGCTGCCACCTAAATCGTTCAAGAGAGGGCTGAAACGATTCACAACCAAAAGTTGAAAAGCAAGACCATTTCTCTGTTCCTGGTGGTTCAGAGGGCTAACGGGCTCAGCGGCTGCACCAAAGGGGATGGGGTGGGTTTGTTCAAGCCTACCAAGAGATGCCTCAGAAGAAAGGCCTGGCGATGTATCTCCCAGAAATCGGTCCCCGAACACCCCGTGTAGCACAGTTCTACTCTGACCCACAAGGAGCCTTCAAAAAGTTCAGGGGGAAATAGAACTAAGGCCCTAAATTAGGACTTTGTCCAAGGACTTACTGGGATCCCGTGCTGACGCGATGCCCACTGCGAACTGGTCTATCGAGGAAGGAAAGAGGAGGGTCATAAAATGCTGGGCTTTTCCACCCACTTCCACACCCATTTGCACACATGTGCTCTCACACATATGCATGCTCATACTCACACACACACTTCATGTCCTAATTGGAGGGGGTTTTATTTGTCATTCCCAAGGTACTGTCAAAAGACTAGTCCAGACTTAACTTTGAATTCTTATCTGAACAAAGAATTCCCTCCGAAAACCATCCTCTGGGGAGTTTTCAGCCATGTAGACATTGCCCGAGCTCTCCTTAGAGGCAAGGATGGCGAGACTTTGTCTTACATACTCTGGACATGCTGTGGTTAGATTTCTTGGGTGGGAAATAGCTCGGTTCTTGGCTTCCCGCGAGAATGAATTTACGCAGAAGCTTGGTTTGTGATCCGAGTGGGTTTAGAGAAAGAACGGGAGAAGTTTCGGGTTTTACAGTCACACACCATGGGCAACCTCATGAGACTGCACACCCACATGGGGTAGCCTGAGGCCAGACAGGCTGCAGCACAGCAGGAACAGCACAGGAGCTGACTGGGAACAGGTGGGCTGGTGATCCAGGTGTTTGAGGCCTTTGACTGGGAGGTGTGGTCCAAGGTATTGGTTGACCCCATTGGTTGAATTGAGCCTACATGGGCCTAGTTTGGGCCGCTCAGTTAGCCTTTACTGGCTGAGGGTTTGCCTGATTCTCTTCCAACCTCCTGTAGGGGGGCTTCAGGCGTGTGGAGAGACAACCTCCCTGTCCTTCTTCTGCTACCTAACACTGTCAGGAGAGACCGGTCCCCGGAGAAGGATCTCCTGCCTGGTAAAGCGGAAGACCCGTGAAAACGAGGTAGACCTTCACGGAGATGGATTGACACAGTGGCTACGACATGGGCCCACATATAACAACTATAAGGATGGAGCAGGAGGAAGAGGGGTGCATTTTGTTCTGTACGTAAGGCCACTATGAGTCAGAGCCAAATGGAGGACGGCTCACAACTACAGTCCAATCAGAAATGGCCTAGTGTGAGTCTGAAGAGGACTTTATAGACTGGTAACGGACATATGGGCTAATATCGGACTTAGGGACTTGACCTGGACTGGGCTGTGATGTTTTCTCAATATTCTCAATATTCAACTGCTCTTGTATATAAAGCTCTTTCTTAGACACACGAGTGTCTGTGGATTTGTTTCTCTAGTCCACCCAGACTAACACAGCAGCCCTACCTTCACCCATCATCGCCATCAGGGACCTTTTGTGAATATAGTGGGTTTCACCTTGGGCTGCCAACCAAAGACTGCAGTTCAAAACCACCAGCCACTCCACAGGAGAGAGACGAGGCAGTCTGCTCCCCAAACGAGTTCGTCTTAGAAACCCGAAGGGGCAGTTCCTCCCTGCGGTACAGGGTCGCTTCAGAATCAACTTGAAAAAAGCGAGTTCTGCTTTGGACTCTTTTAGTTAAGGGTCCAAACTACAGCTGTGGGAGCAACGCCCCCAAAGGCAAGGAACACAGCTTTGGAGCAGCCATAAGGCGTGTGCTTTCCGCTTTACAATCCCTTCTTGTGTGAATTTTGACCCGCTTCCAAAGCAAAGAAAGAAAGCAGCCCGCTGCCATGTGTCAATTCCAACCTCTTGGGACCCTTTAGGACAGCACAGAACCACCCATTACACCACCAGCCGTGTTAGGCCACATCAATTTGGAAACCTCCGGGCCTCCAAGGGCGTCATAGTTTTGTTTCATTCTAATCACACTGGCTTACTTTTATTATTTTCCCAATCGCTTGATGGGCATGAAATCCAGTCACCCAGTTCAGTAGCTCCATGTCACCCAGAAGAGTTGCACACTCATCGCCACCCTCAGTTTTTTCGGAAGCCAACTGCCACACCCTGCTGCCTTTAAAATGCCCGGGCAGGTATTGCGGATGTATCCTAGGCGTTGGAATGAGTAGAAAATGTCTCAGGACCATTTATGTGTCTAAGACTGAAAAGAACCAGTCCCAGGACCTAGACCGAATCCGAGGCCAAGATTGGTCAGGCCTCTGCCCAGGGTGTCGTTAGCAAGACGGCAGCTACAGAACTGGGGGAGGTGACCAGCCGGCTTCCATCAAAATGCCCCTGTGGGATGGACGATCCCATTCGAAACCAGGTAATCTTTCCAAGGGCAGGGTCGTTGGCTTACAACTCTTAAACTTAGGTGTGGCCATCCCCGACCTCCCCACTCCCCCCCCGCTCCGTCCTTCCCCGGGTTCTCCCCGGCACGTGTTGCAGAATGCCACAAGTGGACGGCCAGCCTTTGTGTCAACCCGCGATCGTTCTCCGCAGGGAATCCGGAGGCAATGACAACGCTGCTGTTGGGGAGCGATCTCCCAGGGATGTTAGCGCACGCGAAAGCAGTCGCCCTCTCTTCTGCCAGCTGGGACACAGATACGCAGAGACCATCGCCCCCTCCCGCCCAAGCAGGGCCGGGCTGCTCGCGAGCTGCTCCCCTCCCCGGTCCTGCAGCGCCCCGTGGCGTCATGGGGCCCGCGGCTCCCAGATGAAAGCGCGGCGCGCAGGCCGCGGGCCCCGGGAGCGGGATTCCCAGCACTCTCCCTGGGCCGCTCGCCCTGGGAACCGACCGCGCGCCCATCCGGCCGCCCGGCCCAGCAGGACGGCGCCTCGGGCCGCCCCGCCCGTGCCCGCCGGCGGAGGGCGACCGCGCGACCCGCGGTTCACAAAGGAGCGTGCGGGCGAGCTGGCCCGGCGAATAGCTGCTCCGCCTGCAGAGCACAGCCGCCCTGCCCTGCCTTTGATGTCTCGCGACTGATCGCCGATCAGATTACAGGCGTGCTCAGCTCCCAGCTCGCCTGCCTTTGATCTGCCTGGTGAATTTCACTTCCCGGGATTCGAAGTTTACGCCTGGGCTTGTGCGGACACACATATTTGGGAAGGTGGAAGCTCCGGGCACGGAGAGGAGGGTTGCCAACGAGAAAAGTTAGCTGCCTGGGAAGGCCGATCGGCGGCGTCGGAGGATTCCGCCAGCCTGCAGGTATGGTGGCATGGTTGCCGGGGGTTGTTGCTGGTGTGGTGGCGGTGGCAGCCTGGCCTGTACTCTGTGTGTGTGTGTTCTAATAAAAGAGAAAAAAAGACGCACTAGGCCGATGAAAACCAAACATCGCTCTCGCCGAAGCGTGCGTGATGGTGCATGCATGTATCCGACTAAATACGACACGCTGCCGTTTCTTCGGAGTTTGTGCACAGGGATTTGCAGTGTCAGGGGAAATTTACTTGGAAGCGAGTCGCTCCAACAGGGCTCCAGGACGCGGGCCAGCTTCTTTCTGCCTGCAAACAGTGCTTCGGCCCCTGAGATGACTGAAGCTCCCCTTCTCCCCCTGCTTGCCGAGTATCTGCAGCGTCCTTTATGTAGAAGCAGTCCCTGAAGGGCCCTTGCTGCAAATCACTCCTTTTCTTCATGTGTTCTCTTAGACGAGAAAGGAGATCCGTTGCATCGCTCGCAGTGCTGCTTACTTATTTATTCTCTCTGTGCCCAGCAGAGACAAATCTTCACGGGGCATGCACATACCAGGGAAGCCCTGGGAAGGCTTTGAGCTACGGTTTAACACCTTTAGGCGTCAAATTGAAGGAGGGAACTGAAGGTGTAAAATAAATGAGTGAAGGTCACATCACACGTGGAAGGATTTTTTTCTTTAATAACGCTGAGAAAAATAAGTATCAGCCTCCTGGCAGCCATGGCCCCAAAGCTAATATTCCTAAATGAACATTTACTTAAAATTTATAGTGACCAACTGTTTATGAAAGCCGACTCATCCAGTGATTAGTTACACCAAGTGTTTGCAGCACATTTCGAGTTTGGCTGGTGTCCACAAGGCAGGGGGAAATCACACACGGAATTTAAACATTTGGTAATTCTTCATCGATCCCCCCCCCTTACACACACACACTTCATACATCTGCGAGGGGACGGGGGAGGGGGAGAGACAGAGAGAGACTTATATTGAGATGCAAGTACTCAGTGCAGTAGGAACACCCATGTTCACTGTGCCCCTTTGCACGTGGTAGCCCCCACATAACTCCACCAAAAATATTTCCCAGGCATGACAAGAGTTTGTCATTTGCTAGCCGGACCCAAAGCAAAGAAAAACCATTGGCTCCTCTGTCTGGAATTATGACAGAACAAAAGAAGAGCCCTAATGAGTTTCATTTCACGTACAATTAATCTTCCAACGCCAATGAATTAAAACGACTTTCTAAACTTCTTCCCCTGATGATTAAAGAGGGCGATTCGCATTGTTTGCTTAATTTTAAAACTCTTGATGGCAGGCTAGGGCTGCCCATGGAAGCCCAGGCGGCACTGCCTTGGGGTGGCCTAAGGCCAGAGCCAGGAAGGCTGTCATGGAAAAGCCCTAGTGGTTGTTGTTCTTATTCTTTTGCCAAAAGAGGCATTTCCATTTCCGAAGGCCCTCACCATGGGGCAGGTCTTGGTCACAGTATCCTGGTCACAGTATCCATCCGTGGGGGAGGTTGTTTGGGGTTCTTTAATTCCATTTTGTGAGTCAATGCTGATGTTTCATTTGTTTGCTTTAAAAAAGACCTCTAAAACTCTTCCCCAAACAGCATGAATGACCCCATTTGCATAAAGGCAATAAGCCTTTTAGAATAAGGACAGGAGAAGATGTCCAAAGGAAGAGTGTGTGTTCAGGATTTTAACGGACTGTTTTGGTTTAGATTTGGGAGTTGAGATGTTTTAACAGGACCCTTTGATGCTGTTACCAGGTTCATCTGAACAAGTTCAGCCTCTGCTCCTTGGGCCCAAAACAAAGCAGGGGAGGATTAGCAATTATCTGATGAATTTAGTAGGAAAACTAGCATGGGCAAGTCAAGTCCTTGAAAATCCACTTCAGAGTCTGAATTAATTCAGTTAATTGTTTACTTCTTGAGTCGAGGTTGAGAAATGAAACATTGTATGGGGTTTTTGTTTTTAAATGAAGAAAGATGCCTATTGCTAAATACACAGGTACTGTTTCAAAAGGGCAGCCCTTTCATGAATGGTCACAAGATGATCTTGATGTCAATAGATAGAAACTATGATAATTCTACACGGAAGGAAGCCCTTTCTTCCCCCCACCCCCACCCCCCACCCCACCAGCCTTTTCAGATCTATTGCATCAATAGCGGCTTTGTTCACCCAGAAAGCCCTCATCTTCAAAGGCTTTTCTTCTCAGTCCTGTTTCTGTCACAGATTAGCTATGTGACCTTAGTGAGTTGCTTTGGCAGGGGGTTGGGGGGGGTTGGGGGGTGGTGGTGATCAGCTTGTCTTTGTGGCAAACAGGGCTGGGATTTTTATAGCCATTTTTCAGACGAGGAAACGGAGGCTTTAGAAAACCCACTAGCCTGCTTCATTAAGATTCCGTGGCTAGGGTTTCTAAGTCCTTGTCCATTGCCCTTAAGCAGCTACTATGCGTGGCCTGTGTCCCAGCCATTGTTAAACCAGATGCGCTGGGTAGCTGATCAATGTCAATTTGAAGACAAAGAGAGTCAGTAGCATTTGTGTTTTCAAGGAATTAGTATTTTCTTAAGAGGTTGCCAATGGAATTCATGAAAAGGTTATTAACCAGAAGTCGTTATTCCTCAGGGGAGCTTCACCAGGTGGTGTTTGTGTTGTTTCAGTTTGGGTTTCATATTTAGGGTACTGGTGCCATGCTACTTTTGATCGTAAAAAGATGAATCCTTCGAATGGATTTCCAATATTCTTGCCATTTTCCTCTCTTTCTTGGCAAAATAGTCTTCTTTCTCATGGTACAAAATTAATGTAACTTAGCTATTAGCTGTCAATTATACACAAATACACTGCTCTTGAGGTCAAATAACTCTCACTTCAAGCTAGTTTTTTTTCACTTTCTTAAGGGGTCATAGAAAGCTTGACAGAGATTTTAAGTATGTCTATATCTAGCAGTTACTGATGTTCATTAAGTACTTGCGTACTGGGAACTCTAACAATCCTTTTTAAACCATTGCCTTGTTCAAATTTACAACTAAGGGTTTTTTCCCCCATCTCCGTTATACAATCTGGGTAATATCATATGGAAAATAAAGCTGCAAAAGTAAATTGATCCTCAGTCTACCCTTCAAATTATGGGTTCATTTGCCCTAGAGCTAGGCTGTTCATTTTTTTCGACTCTAAGAATGACATTGAATGTAACTAGACTACCTATTAGTAACAATTATAGTCAAAATGTTGGCCAAGAAATAGCCTCCACTTTTTTGTTTTTGTTTTTCCCCCTTCCTTTTGATATTTTAATGGAGCCCTGGAGGTGTAGGGCTTATGAGTTGGGCTGCAATTCACCGAGTTGGCAGTTCAAAACCACCAGCAGCTTTGTGGGAGAAAGACTGGACTTTCTACTCCTGTAAACAGTTGCAGTTTCTGAAAGCCACCAGGGGTCGCTATGAGTCAGCACAGTCTCACGGCAGTCAGTCTGATATTGGAGAGCTGCCGTCACTATGTTACAGGTTTTCCATCAGTTGGTCTAAAAAATTAAACCCAAAAGGGACTCGGTATACAGCCCATCCTTCTGCTTCAGGACTGGACGCAATCATTCCAATCATTGTTGGCCATTTAAAAAATTTTTTCTTGGCAAAAATAATTTAATTCATTTTATTAGGAAACCCTCAGGAGCAGTTCTACTCTGTCCTCTAAGGCGGTGGGTCAGAATCAACCGGCAGTCAGTGAGTGGGTTTTGTTTAAGGGCAAGGAACCCTGATGGGACAATCGAACCCAAAGGTCAGAGATCTGACCCTTCCCAGCCGATCTGGCTGGGCGCCAGGGTCCACCCTAGATTGGGCAGTCCGAGGCACCTGGGAAAATTAACCTTGGGGTGCTTTTAAGGAGTCCCTCTTTGAAGGGTTGTCTGGCTGTTTTGAGAAGTGTGAGAAGTTGGAGAGAGAGATTCCTGATGGCTGAGCTAGATTCCTCCTTCCACTGCTATTTGACAAGTTGACAGTTCAAACCGCCAGCCCTTTTCCCCGCCGCCGGGGAGAAATAAGGCTGGCCGGCTGCTCCCGGACAGATGTGCAGTCTCTGAAACCCTGGAGAGGGTTGCGATGCGGTGGGCTCACCTTGATGGCAGTAGTTTGGGTCCTGGGCCAGGAGCCCTGGTGATAGACCAGCGAAGCGCTCGGCTATTGGATGATAAGTCAGCAGCTGGGACCCAGACTGCCCCATAGGAGGAAGACGTGGCAGCTACTTCCATAAAGATGACGACCTTGGACCCCCTACGGGGCAGTTCTACTTTGTCCCGTAAGGTAGCTAGTAGTAGAAGGTGTGGCTTTGTGTTTTGCTGTTATTTTCTTCGGTCCTAAGCCATGTGATTGGGGGTCCCCCAATCAACGACACCAACTAGCTCAAACCCCAACTCAGAACAGGAGTCTTGTCTCCAGACCTGTTGTTGTTGGGTACCCTCCCCCCACGGTGGATTTCACTCAAAGTGACCCCATGTTTCAGAGACGAGCTAACTGCCCCATAGGGTGTCCTAGACTGCGATCTTTATGGGAGCAGGTCTCTCTGACCCAGATCGGCTGGCAAGGGTCAAACCTCTGACCTTTTGGTTAGATTGCCAGCAGGGCTCCTTGCCCTTAAACATAACCCACTCAGTGCCGTCTAGTCGATTCTGACTCACAGCAACCTCACAGCACAGAGTAGAACTGCTCCATAGGGTTTCCGAAGCAGACTGCCTCATCTCTCTCCCATCGAGCAGCTGGTGGGTTTGAACTGCTGACCCTTTGGGTCATGGGCACGGACTCGATGACACTGCGTGGCTGAGTGAGTTTTTTAAAAAGGAGGAGGAGGAGGAGAAGAAGGAGCGATTCAAATCATTTCCACCACCCACTGCTGCCAATTATAGCCTCTGCGTGTAGGCTGGGGAGGAATCACAAGGCCAGATGCCAAGTGGCTTGCTCAGGATCATATATCAAGTTCATAGGAAGGGAGCCCCATCCCAGTAGTGCACAGAGCTAAGGAGGTTCTTTATTTAG